GTGCGTTCAGACCCCGATGGCAAAGGGCACAGCAACTGTCCTTGTGACTATGGAAATAGCCCATCCCCTTCTAACTCCTCCCCATCAATAATCTGTGAGTAGAAGAGCTTGACAGCAAGATCAAGCAAGAGGGAGAGATGGAGAAAAAAAGACAGACAAAATGAGGGAGGGGTTGAGCTATGGTAGGAGGAGATGGAAGAATGCTGCTCCTTTTCTCCTTTTCAGCTGAAACAGTCTCAGGAGCTGCCCCCCAGCAACAGAGGGAGAAAAGCATGATGAATAATTAACGTTGAGAAATGTCACAAGCGGCAGAGAGAAGTGTAATCATTTCTCTGTTGGGTTTAGAGATCTGTTTTTCCATTCTTTTCCTTTATGCCCTGTAGTGCTGCACTACGCTGAGACTGTAACCCGTCCCCGAAAAGCCTCCAATAAATTCCCCTACATACTTTTCAAATAAAAGCAGATAAATCATTAATATTTGGGCCTTTTAGCAGAATCACAGACATCTCGCAGAGGTCTTCTCCATTTTTAATCAAGTCATTGATGTCAGTCTCATTAACTGTAAAATCACATGTTAAGGAGCAGGAGTCTCTGGTGGTAATGGCTTAATCAATGGAGGGCTTCAGCTTGGTTTCTTTGGAGAACACAGCATGCCCTCTTGGAATGAATAAAAGATCAAAATGACAAATTACCGTCTTCATGTTCTAAACAAGCTAAATGTGTCCCTTTTCCCGTAAACCTCAGAAAATGAGGTATGGATTACCATGGCCTAGTTTAATGGTGGTAAGGAGGTAATTGCAGATATATATCATTTTTGAAATTCTGAAATTGTAAGATTGGCCTGCTTTTCATGTGTTGAAGAGAGGATGCTCTTTGTATTTTTGCCACCTGAGTCATCACAAAGGACACGATGAAGATGTTGTTTTGCTTTCAGTGGACAAAGGTACTGCACTATAGCCTATCAGCCCTCAGCTCTGTTGTATCTGTATTGTAAAGGAGACCATAATGACATGGATGATTTAATACCAAAAAAGGCTTAAAGATTTTTGTCCCATCGACGTGTTTGTTAATCAGGCTCACTCCAAATGAGATTCCTTATCAGCAAACACATTGATTGTTCAAAATGAGATGCTGATTTTTCCAGTGTTATTAATCTTCTTTTTAGGTGACATTCAGTAATTATTCCTGTATGGTGCTGTGCTGCTTGTGTAATATGGAGTTTTATCCAGAAAGAAGTTCAGAGAAGATTACCACCCATTCACTATTTGTTAGTTGAAGTGTTGGATGGCATGGGCAACAATGAGGCATGGGCCCATTCTGCTAACTTTTCCCTTGACTTTTCGTCCAGCACCATCATCGGGTCAAATTTTTAATCCGTCCGATACTTTGGTTTTTGATCAAACTAGTAATAACCGCCCCAGCTGTACTTTGTGTGTAACTGCAATGCTAATTAACAAAAGTTAGCATGCCAACACGCCAAGCTTAGACAGTGATGATGGTAAACGTTCTCACTGTTAGTGTCTGTGTGTTACCATGCTAAATTTAGCATTTATCAAGTAGCCTCACCGACCGCTAGCACGGTGGTAGACTCTCGGCCTTGTTATATATATATGCAGGAAACACACACACACACACACACACACACACACCAGCAAAGTTCAACACCTTTTCACACACATTCAGAGAAACTATGATGCTGAAATATTTTCTCTGAGAAAAAGTATCAATCCACACAAACACCTAAAGGAGAAATACCCTGGAGTGAATAAAGACTTCTTGTAAAATACTGACAATATAAAAAATGTCATATCTTATTGTCAATATGATATTAATATCATCATCATGATTATGGTGGTTATTATTATCATTATTATTAATATGTCCTGCAGAGTTAAAAACAAAGTAGACCGTACAATCAAAACAAACATCAATTAAAAGTAATCTGCCCGTAATAAGATGTAAAAGCAGTCAGAATAGAAGAAATAAAGAAGGCAGACCCTAATTGCCATCCTAAAGCGCGTAGGAGGACCGAAGTTTTTGGACTCTCTGCTAAGCTTCCCATAAACGGCAAATCAGTGAGAAGAGAGAAGCGTCTCTCCCCAGCGGAGCAATCAGCATGTTAATTCTGAAGCAAAACACCTCAAAATCCTCCCTTGTATTAGAACCCGTTTTAAATAACCTAACAATAGCATTTAATTAACAGGGAGTTACACCTGAGCATTTAGATTTTAACCAAAGAAGTTTCCGTTCTTATTCCACTTGTCTTCCGCTTTAATTATTCTGAATTAGAGTCTCGCTGAGATTCTCTGGGGCTTTAATTAGCGACTGAATAAGAGTTATGTAAATACAGTTGGAAGCTGCAGAGTCTTTAAATAGAGTTGTGTTGCATCTGGTATTTTCTTTTCTATTTTTTTTGCTGAAAGAGAAAACATCCTAAGTCTTTCTTTTGAAGTTTGTCAAATCACTGCAGGGTACTTTTCCCCTTCGGTGTTTGTGTGGATTGATACTTTTTCTCAAAGGACTAGGTGACAAAAAATATTTCTGAAAATGAGCCATTTTTGTTTCTCCGAGTGCGTGCGCGAAAAAATGTGTTGAATTGTGTGTCTTTCTGTCCTTGTCTGTATCTCGCATGTTGATATTCTTGTGCAAGAATGAAGCGAAAGCTGACTTGCGTGACGTTACCTGCCCATGAATGTATGAATGACTGATCCATCCATCCAATTTTCTGATCCGCTGTGAAAATTGAAAGAGCGGGATCAACCTCCGTTGGGCTAGATTAAACCCAAACTAAGTGCCCAGACTGCAAGCTTCTGTCTCTGCATGATAATGGGTCTCTTTCAGCTGTGTTTGTCATCAAATTAGCCCTCCATTTCAGACGAGGCGCTCTCAGAGTGCAATTCTCGACGACAGCGGAATTCAAATTAGGCAATGTCAGTTGGAGGATTGTAAGCTTTAAAAGGGAGAAGGGGTTTCATTTGTGAGCGGGATAATTGCAGTAGGAGGTAAAATGACAGTGTTCAGGTTCATAAAATCACCGTCCGTCGTGCGGTGCAGCTGCATTGACTCACATTACAGGAGTGCCAGGAAAACAAACCTTAAACCAGCAATTGCAGCCTATAGCTTCCTCTTCATGCTCTAAATCCAACCTTCGGTGTTAACTATGAAGCCTTTGAAGCCCCTCCATCAGTGCATTATTTCAACGTTTTCTCCTTTTTTTTTTTGTCTCCCAAATAAACACTGCAATCGAGTGCATTTATAAGCATGGAGGGAGGCTGTTTAGTCTTGAGGCTGAGTTCACGTTTGTTTGTCTTCCTGCCTTGCGTTTTGCGTTCAAGACACCCAGGTTGAGTTCCTCCTGCTCCTCTCCGCCTGACACACTATCCCTCTCGTGCCTTTGATCAGCTCGGTAGAGTGAAACTTGCCCTGGGACGTACCATCAGTCCATCGCAGCAGGGGGAAACATAGAGCAGCAGGGGGCAAGGAAGAAGGGATGGAAAGCATTTTTCCTTCTGGCACTTTCTGTCGAACACATTCTCTCCAAAGGATTGAGCAACAATTAAAAGATCTGTTCGGGGCATCCGATGAAGCGATGGCAAACTAGGATCTGAAATAGCTGAGACAGGTGGATGTGAACTAGATGTGTGTCTTTGGCTTATGGAAGGGATTTCCAAGCATAGACCCACAATTGAGGATTCATACAAACATACTTTTCCTGAAACAAAAAGGAATTAAGATGCAGGGAAAATGTTATTGCATAGCATATATACGTTAATATGCAAATCAGTTCAAGGGTGTTTCTTCCATTCACGACTAATGACGAGCATGAATGAGCTCAGATCTGATGCCTAATCCTATGTGTGCAATCAAAAGTTAATGAGGATTTATATATGTATTTATTATTCTGTAAAGCAAATTAGTGTTGCCTTAAAAACTAGGAAACTCTTGAGCACAATCAGACCAATTCCTGCTAATAATGATTCCGACCACATGCTACTACTCTTCTTTGGTAATGTCTCCTCTAGCAGTACATCCCATTAGCCTATTAAGCCATCATTTCATTGCTTTAGTAAATGCACAATGTGAGTGCACAGCAGTTTTTTTTTAGAGCTGATCTGAAGGGAACTGAAATGATCGCATGATTAGTTCTGTAGTGAGAACAGAAATACTCATCAGTGAGTTTTTTGAAAAAAGCTTGAGTCCATTTCAAATAACAGACTCGACTTGACTTCAACATACTGTGAATGTTTCATTACCAAGAAGCCACAGATGTTGTTGACCCTGCTGTAAAATGTTCCTCTTCGATATTACAACTTGTATATCAAGCTAAGTATCCTTGTAAGTGTTAGGGGACTGGCTCTGATGTTTCTGAGACAGAGCGGGGGATGACGTTTGTTTTTTTTACATTTGAATTATGAATACCTTTTCATTTGAATGAATAAGAATCAGTTGGTTCAAAAAGCAATTCACCTTCCTGGATAAGTCTGTGAAGCCCTGCTATTTGAAGAAATACTTGGAACTTTAATTAAACAACACATAACATTCTATAAAAAATTTTTTTAAAACATATCCTTGCTGCACCATTTCATGAAGAGTTCAGAGCAATTAAAGACAAATTCTCAATCTTTTACATTCAGGGCAGGCAATGGATGAGCTTTAACCCAGCAGGATGAGGCTGAGGTGGGCGAGAGAGAATTAGGGCATTCCCATGACATTGAGATGAAAATACATCTGTAGAGCATACTAAACACAAAAGAGACATTTTGCAATGTCGACATTGGTAGACACTCCGCGCACTTTTGAAAAGAAACTAATCTTGTTTTCGAGAGAAAAGAGATGCAGCGGGAGACTCTAAATGGGCCAAAAACCATGTTACATCTTATTTCCAGAAAATGTACGGCGTTGAGAGGCTGCTGAGATGGCTTTAAATTGTTTGCTGAGAACAACGGCAGTATTTTGTAATGGATTGTTTTGGTCTGTGTCTCAATCTTTTTTCCCTGCAGGGCTGAAGCAGATCCATGCCCTGTCCATCCAGGGGAACTATGAGCTGCGTATCGACTTGGAGGACTTTGAAAATAGCACCGCTTATGCCCAGTATGGAACCTTTGGAGTTGGCCTCTTCTCAGTAGACGCTGATGATGATGGATATCCTTTGACTGTGGGAGACTACTCTGGCAATGCAGGTATGTAAGCTCTGTGAGCTAGTCAGACTTTGCTTGCAAGATTTCCTGTGCTACTCTAATTTTAACTCTGTTTGTTTTTCTATTAATCTTACTGTGAATGCATAAGTCACAGCAGTGGCTGAAACCTCCAGACAACTTCCAATCTATGCCGCCTCATAGTGAAATAATAATTGTATTTTTACAGTTCAGTAGATGTGCCTACTTGTTAAACCATGCAGACAGTTGCACAGGGAGAGGGACTGTGTCTCTGCTCCCCAACCTTCAGATCCAAGCCAGCTACCTGTCACCTTGATTAAATTACCGCCAATTAATTGCACTGCTTGACCTGCAGCGTAAACAGAGACCAGCCGTTGAAATGAGGAAGCAATTTAAAGAACCTTTGGGGAGCGCTGCTTCGAGAACGCAGAGAGAGAATGGGGACAGATATGAGAGATTGGGCAAGAAAAAGAAGTGGAGAGGAAGAGAGGGGGAGGGGCTGGTAGGAACTGGAATGGAGGGATGAAGGGGGGACAGATGTGGAAAAAAGAGAGGAGTAACAGGAGAGAGGTAAATAGAAATGAGGATACAGGTATTTAAGGAACAGGGGAGTAGGGAAGATAAAAGCAGACAATGTGTTGTGTGTGTAACAGCTTTTTCCCCAGATACAGTGTCCTGTAATGCCTCTGGGCCCCTGTCCACAGCGTGGCCTGACCTTGAACTCATCTGCCTGTTGGACATTTGAATCCAGTCAAATTAAGGGCACTCAAACTCTCTCAGGATGTTCGCGCTCTCACCTTGGCCTCCCTCCAGGCAGAGTGCTGTTATTATTAGTAGTATTTTGCTCTGCTGTGGCTGCTTTCCGATCAGCTGACAGGTGCTCATTTGGGCTGGGAGCAGCATGCATGGATCTTAATGGACATCAGAGGAGGATGCCCCCCCCCCCCCCCCCAAGGGGAGATCCCCCCGGTGGGAAAGAAGCCTTTAAGTGCTTCTGTTTTTGTTTTTTGGGGGGTTTGTCGCCTCTTTTTCTACACCCCCTGGACATCATACCATTGTCTCTGCCATTGAGCTGCTGCTTTTTCTTCTCTTCTCTCCCCCACTGTCTCCTTTTTTCCTAATATCATATCATCATAATATCAGACATGGCTGTCAGAATACTTTTCCAGCTGACTTGTTACCATGGTAATGCCAAATGGAGAGTAGTGTATAGGGCAGAGGGAGAGGGTAAGAAGCTGGGCGGCCACATCCTGAGCAATTAAGGGTTGTTTGATGCCCGGCGGGCTGTTAGCCATCACCTGATTGCTGGTGAGCCGTCTTTCATTCTGCTCTCAGCTTTGTCCTTCTATCCACTTCTGGCCACAGTGTGAAGCCTGCTTTGGAGAGAAAGGAAAGGACAGAGAGTGCAGTGGAGGTATGGGGAGTTCAATGAACATTATGAGCTGTTTGAACATCCATTTGCTGAAAACTTTAGATCTACCGCAGTGTCTGCGGGGGTGTTGCTTTCATTTTACTTGTAAGCCTCTTAGAGCAATGGCTTGTGAAGCCGTTATCGATTTGGAGAATTTGCCAGTGAGAAATCTTTATATAGTGAGTATATATTTTCAGCTCGGTAATTTGATTGTGTGGATCAGACTTGCCCGGCAGACGGCGATTAAGGGCACGTACTGTAGGTGATTCGACTTGCCTGCATTGGTCTTACATCATGATCGTGATCACAGGTTGCAGGAAAGAATGCCCTGTCACTGTTATTCATGCTTTTCTGTACCACTTACAAAAATGCTTAAAAGATAAACATAGAAAGAATGATCGCAGCATATGTGATGAAGTCCATTAACTATGTCGTTTCTCCTCTCTTTCAACATTTCTGTCCATTAACTGACAGACATCCTGATGAAATCTCTGGGTGTGCGTCATTAAGAAGTGGAAGATAAAAAGGTCACCACGGAACCTTTGATAAATTGGCCACAAAGCCGTCTGACTTCCTGCTTTAGATAATGAGAAGCAATACTCTGGAGAACTGGGGAGCCTAGTTCTTTATTCTGTCATCGCCCTCTGTTTATAGAAACGATGAATTGAAATGTCCTGTACTATTTTGAAGTTGATCTCCTGTGGGTTTATCTAATTACTGGTTTCTCGTTGCAGATCCAAGAATATGTCGGCGAAAGACACAAATATAGTGTTTTGCCTATTTGTCTTCTTTTTTGATTCCAGACCGATATAAATTTCAAACGCAAAGGAGGTGCAAGAGCTGTGCTATCTCCCTGCTGCACTTGTTTATGAGAGCTTGTATCATTCCTTTTAAATAAACCTACATCTTTATCGTATTTCTTTATATATGTACTCATACATTCAATTTGTGTCACACATCTTTTCCCCGCCCTAGGTGACTCTCTGCTGAAGCACAACGGGATGAAGTTCACCACCAAAGACCGGGACAACGACCACTCGGAGAACAACTGCGCCTCCTTCTACCATGGTGCCTGGTGGTACCGCAACTGTCACACCGCCAACCTTAACGGGCAGTACCTGCGCGGCCAGCACACCTCCTATGCCGATGGCATCGAGTGGTCCTCCTGGACTGGCTGGCAGTACTCCCTCAAGTTCTCCGAGATGAAAATACGGCCTACCCGCGACCCGGAGAACAAATGAGAAAGACAAAAGGAAGAAGGAGATAAAAAAAAATGTTCAAACATTACAAACCACAATTTCTGACAGCTAGGCGGAGTTACTTGTCTCTATCGTTTATTCACTAAAACATACCTCTTTGAGTTTAGTTGCCTCTGTTGTTTGCCTCCCAATGTCTCACTCCCTTTTTTTGCTCCTCTTCCTCCATCACTCAGCTACTGGTGTCATGCTGGCTACCATTATCCTTACCCCAGGTCCATTTGTTGAAAAAAAAAATAACATAAGCATCATGCATATTTTTTTTTGATCATTCAGTTCATGAAAGCAGCATACCAGAGCTGCGAAGCCACAGTCCACTGCGCTAGCTTTACTCAGTCTGACGTGGTGGTCCAAGCATCGCCTGTAACGCCTGTAACTCTGACCTCCCATCTGTGCTGCCATGGCACTTCAACTGTGGTTCAGTCTCACTGCCCATTGCTGTATAATCTGTGAACGGAGAGGGCTGCTCCAAATGTAGTAGAAAGGAAGTCCAGAGTTTCACCAGTGAGAAGGGACAGCGCAGTGGTACACTACGTCACATTTACATCCTTGATCTGTGTGAGCACGACCCAGCAGGGTAGTGGCAAGAAGTGCGGGGTCTCAGATAATTAGTGGGAGACAGAGACGGCGAGAACAAGGAAAAAATCTGACAAGAGTTGAATTAGTCTAAGGAAAGGGGGGGGGCAGAGTGAATCAAAGGGGAGTGAGGCAGTGGAAGAAGACGAGGTGCAAAAAGGATAAAAAAAGATAAATGAGAAAAAGAAAGAGACAACGGAGGATCTCATTCATCTGACTTGGGCCATTAGGAAGCATATTGGGCACTTTGTCTGATCCGCCTGCCAGCTGAGCACTGGCCAACTGATGCAGCATTCACAGATGGTAACCCAGCACTTTATATGTGTGTGTGTGTGTGTGTGTGTGTGTGTGTGTGTGTGTGTGTGTGTGTGTGTGTGTGTTGCAAGTGTGTGCGTGTGTCTTCGACAAGAGAGAGACAGACAGAGTTCTCTAACATTATCAATTTCCTGTCATGAGTTCAGTGGAGCGTCTCGACTGACTACAATGTTTAGCACCAACAGACTAAACGTGATGCATGGCTGGCATACCTTCACTCTCCATTTAGGTACTGTAGTTACCATGAAATAACAAAGACTGTAAAGTACGTACGTGTATTAGGAAGGGCAAGACTTTGGCAACAATTTGAAGGAGACCAATGGGATCACAGAATGAAAGAGGAAAGAAATATTGCGCCATTGTTCCCTCATTTTCTTGGACCTGTCGAGGAAACAACCCCCCATTCTCACCTCTTTGGTTT